ATTCCTTCTCCTAGGTACTGCGGCTAACCTTAGCCGCGGTTAGTGCTTCGAGCAAACGGGCCCAGCTGAATGACAAAAGAGAGAAGAAGCGCGAGATCTGTTCAAAAATATCGAATATTTCTCTAAACTAACTGGCCTCCTTTAAGTCTTTAAATTCTACAGCCGAAGACCCTCGTTAAATCTCCAACTTCGCTCTCCGTGCAGCATTTACGCTTTCTAGCACTGCTGACAAAGGCAAGCTGGACAGGCTTGCAGAGACTGGGCGACCGGAAGTCGCTTGGGACGCAAGCTGCAGTTCATGTTTGTAAACAATAAAATGTTCTATAGGAGGGATTGTCTGCTTCTCCTGGCTCGCAGTTCTCCCTCCAAAAACTGCGTTTGTTAGTTTTTCATTGATTTTAGCGTAGGTCTGGATAGATGGAATTATGGGAGACCCAGAACGTGGATAGGGAGTAGGGGAACAGCGCCTGGAATATGCCTGTGTTTCAAATCTCGTCGTGTCAGGAAAAGTACTTGTTTGACGGCCGCGGTTGGTTTGACCCGCATTGTGGATGCCTCTGTCTTGGTAAAAGTGGGAAGAATTAGCGTTTTTTGTACCTGTCGTCATCTCTACACTTTCTGCAGTGTCGTTTGATATGCCCTCTGTTTCCGCAGTGGTAGCACAGAGGTCGGTTAGGTGCTCTCCAAGGCTGGTACGTTGGCGGAGCGAAGGCGGCTGGCGCGAATGCAGCCAGCGAAGGCGGGAAGTGAGGTCAGTGCAACGAAGGAACGTGCGAAGGGGAAATCCTTGCAGCGATCTCGCGTATCGGCGTACGTTGGTGGTGGTTCTGTGGGGGAAGCAGCGTTGCAGGAGGCACAGCTCTTCTGGTACAAGGGAACATAACTCGGACGAACTTGCTCCCTGTTTGTTCCGCGATGTGTTTCACTGAGCAAGTGAGGAACTCTTCTCGATCGACCAACCTAACGAGGTTGCGTGGTTCGGTACTGGATGTCTTTGGTTGTCCGATGTTCGGAGCTGGACAGGTGACCCTGATAGTTCGCATCTCATCAAAATACTGACACACAGATGCCACGTCGGCTACGGATGTGGGCTTGGAACCAGGCGAACATTCAAGGTAGTCTCCGTGATTCCTTTTGAGACGTGACGTAGACGTTCAGACTCGCGCATGTCAATGTCTGCGCGGTGGTATAGAGCGCGAAGACATCCTCAATGTACAAGATAGGCATTTCTTCACCTTATTGTTGCCGACGCTCAAGCTTCTTTTTTGCGTTCTCCTGGCGGCTGGTTGGAGTGCCGAGTATGTACTTCGACATAAAGGGGCGGTGCAGCAATACTCAATTGGAATTTTTCTCACTTACACAAGTTTACTGGCACTAGAGGGATCTAAGTATACAAGCATGAAACGCCATTGACCATTGACTCTTTGTTGCGGTTAAATTTTAAGGACAAAAGCGAGCGCTTCCTGTCAATCTTTCCTTCGCAAAACTTTATGATGTAGTGGGAAGGTCCCGGTATCCCCCAGTGACAGTATTTACATGCGGTTCTTAGATTGAACCCGAGGTTTGCGTGAGCACTCGATTTGGGCTCTTGATAATAAATAGCTCGATAAGCATTTGGGTAGTGGTCCGCGTCCAATCGCGGCCATGACGACAATAGCCGAACCAACAGAATATCTGGAACTCAGGCGTGTCCTGTGCTTTGCCAACCTCAGCGTGGCTATGGTCAACTTTGGCGGCATATAATCGGCTCCAGATCACGTGGCTGCTTGTTCTGGCTGCGAGTTAAGGGGGTGAACTCTGCTCGTTTTCCTTTAAATATTTCTGCTACATTCATTGCGTGGGAGAAAAAGAAACGCGTGTTACATTGGTCATAAACGTTGCGGGGATCGTGATCCCTCAACATTCTGTCGCGTCAGCGTTTTGGCACGCCGTGGCGGCCGCGCTGACGTAGCGGAGGTGGCGCTGCTTACCAGTGTGAGTGGCTTCCTCCTCTCCCCCCTAGGGACGATTTTCGTAACGAACCCCCGCAGAGAGGAGATCGACGTGTCGTTCCTTGATTGGCCACTTCGCCCCCGCCCTTATCTTAAAACCAGCGAACAGCAGTATATCGCTCTCTTCTTCCTGGGATTCGGCGGCGACAACGGGGAACCGTCCGGTGAGCGTTTACCCCGTCCTTTTTACTTTTGTGAACGACCATTCGGCCGTGGGCGATCGCCACACCGACGGCGTTCACCAGCTTATAGCCACTGTTTTCTTCTTTTTGTTTCATTGTAAATAAACAGAGTTTATCACCTTTAAGGTGTATCCACACGACGGACCGGGCCGCGGACCGATTGATCACGTGATGCGCGGCCCGCGGGCCGCGCGGCTGCAATGAGCATCCACATGGCGGACCAAAAGAGCAGACGACAGAGTGAACGGGCCGGTCTAACCCTCGACCTCAGCTCCGCCAAAACTCATGCAGCGAGCTGCTTTGAGGCTATTTGTAAAGAGCCAAGATGGAGGTGAAACGAAAGAGATGTTTGGCCGCGGTGGCCCTGGCGTTGACTATTGAGGACGAGGAGGACTTAAGTGAACCCAAAAAGGGCATGCAACTATCGTCCCACAGAGCGTGAACTGCTACACGCGCGCGATGAAGTAAAAAGTTGCATCGTCGCACCATACCGCCATCGTCGCACAACAAAAGGTTCGTCTTCTTCATCTTCAACAGTTGGCGCCAAAAGAAAACGACTTTGGATTTGAATTCCATTACAAACAACAAAAGTCAGCTTGTTGCCAGACTTAGCGCTTCAATTATACTAAGAACACCCCGGTCCGCCGCTAAGGTCCGGGCGAGAAAAGTCGCTTGGCATTTCTCAGAAGCGCGGGCCGCGGACCGCCAGCGGACCTCGAAGACCGGTGACGTAAGATCACGTGATGCGCGGCCCGCGGACCGAAACAGGAATTTGGTCCGTCGTGTGGATACACCTTTACCAACGTGACTGGTGTCTGTTTTCGCTCAACGAGCAGCATGCCACGCGAGTACGAACCCGCTTCGCGGTAGAGCGTTTCGCCGCAAACGTGATACTCCCAAAGGCAGTGGCCCCCAGGAGAACCATAACGTAAGGAATTCTTTCTGAGCGGTATTGGCGCAAAGTACGAAAATTATTTTATTGCCATTTTAGTTACTCGAACTTGAGTCATGTAATGAAGTTTATTCTCTCTCTTTCTCTCAACTTATTTGAAAAAGAATCCCTCCGAAATTTCTTCCTCGTTTAAAAACCAGGTTTGGCAACTTCCGTGAGGTAGAATGCTACATTGGCTAGTTCAGTAGCGTTGTCACACCTGTTATAGGCGCTGACATGGTCGAAACTGTCGAGCCAGTCCTCCACATCGCCATCGTGAATGCCAGCAACAATATTTGGGTCTGTTTGGCTATTACGAGTGCTCCAGGCCGGAGGAGTTTCGATTGGGTTAGGCGCGGGGACAGTCATCGTGGCGCTAGTGGGCGTCGTCGTGGCTGGTGGTGTCGTGGAGGGTGCTTGAGCAGCCGTCGCCGTGATAGTGTTCAACTTACGGTATCAAAGCTCCAGGTTTTTAGGGGCGAACTTGGAGAAAAGGCGTTTGCAGTACGTGGCCTAGAAACGCACCTCCAACATGTTTTCAGGCATGGACCAGTTGGTCCGGAGATGATCTACTGCTACTGCTGTAGAATCTCTGTAGGACTTTCCGACAAGAGCCCTCGCAAGTACGCCGGCGATGTTAATGGTGTCGCACAACAACCACCGATGTCGAAGGAGTCAGCTGGCAACTGCACACGTGATCCCTTTCCCAAAAGTGTACCAACCTTTAAGTGACCGGTATCTGAAGGTAAAACAAAATTGTAAATCAATATGGTACGCCTCTCGTTATTGGTCTCCAGAGAGACTCATTGTCTGTTCGGTAATCAGAGCGCGGCAAAAATACAGACATACATTGTCTGTTCGTCTGGGAAGAGAGAGAACACCTTTATTTACACCACCCATGTCATGTCCGGGCACTGGGTTTGTCTATGGGCTCTTTCACGGTAAAAACGAACAAAAACAACAACAAAAACATGCTTGGTGTCTCAAGAGAGACACAGTCTGTGTCTCTTGAGATTGTGGTGCAAGAGGGAAACAGTCTAGATACGCCGCGTCTGTGTTAAGTAGACTATGGTAAAGAAAAAAACATGAACGTAGTGTCTCAAGAGGAACACGCCGTATGTGCGTACTTGTCCAAAAAGACATCGACACCGAAAAAGAACAAAGACGCCGCGTCTCACAAGACACGGTCCAATGATCATCCTCAGGTTGGCATCAGAAGGACGAACGTATACTCTTTCAAGTGTGACTCTGAGTTTGTGTAGTATGTGCAGAAACTGGTGCCAAAACGAGACAAACAGTGATGGCGCCGGCGAGCTTGTGTAGATTTACCATTTATTATAAATGTAGATTTACCACCTGTTGTTCAGAGAGACAGCGGCGCAAAAACTGAACACAGACGCATCGTTTTCTACAGACACCATCCCCGTGTTCGTCCTGAGTCTGCTACAAAAAGAATGAACAGCGACGGTGGAACATAGCCTCTCGATATGAACGGAGACATTGGTACCAACGAGAGACAAACACAAACGCAGTGTTTTGAGAGAGACACTGTTTTTGCACCTACTTGGCGAAAAAGCCAGCGATTTTAGAAATAAATACAAGCGCGAACTCCGTGCCTCATGGGGAACGCAATGTTTCTGTTCGTGCTATTTAATTTTCTATTCTCTGGCTTGACAGCCTAGACTCCCGCCAACTCGCCATTCGAGCTTCTAATAATTTCTGAAGTTTTGACAACATAACGGGGACTATATTATGTTCAGATATATTTAGGAAAATATTTTGATCGGAGATAAATATATATAGTTCTTGGCTGCTCGCACTTGCCGAGCAGTACTTGTCAGAACACCTCTGGCAAGGAACTGAATAACGCGTGTCGGGCTGGGTGCCTCCATTCAGGCGTGATGTTCGCGTCCCTGGACACCCGCATTGGCTTCCTCAGCGTGCCCCTGGACCCGCTCTCGGACGGGGCCATGATCCTGAGGGACATGAACGACGCTTTCGCCTGCCTGCAGATCTTCGGCTACCGCTTCCCCTACTTCCGCTACCTTAGGACCCCCACCTGGAAGAGGTTCGAGCGCGCCATGGACGACTTCTCCGTGTAAGCGTTCGCACAGGGAGCACGCTGCCCTGGCTTCTTAGTAGACAGGTTGCAAGAGAGTATGGTGACTGGAACGCGTCTCTAACGTTTGGGTTTAGCGTTCTATGGCACCAATGCATTCAAAGTAATCACGAAGTGTTAACAAATGACCTCACAAAAGCCAAAGCCTCGTGCTGACGGATATCGCGACCTTAACAACCAAACGTTGAATATAAAAAAAAAACAAAGGAAGATGTTTACAACACCCTGTAACGCCGAATTAGAGTGCAGCTCTTGAGGAGAAGGATGGAAGGTTACTGAGGAGAGGGTATAGCCCTCATCCCTCCTCCTCCCCCTCTTTTCTTCTCTTTCTCCTCCTCCCGTCCCTCTCTCCCTTCCCCACCCTCCTCCTCCCTGCTCCTCCCCCTCCTGCTCCCCTCTCCCGCATCCTCCTCCCCTTCCTCCTCCTCCTCGCGCGTTGCATCAGGGGAAATTACCATAATGCACCGCGCAGGACCGTCGTGACGTCACGAGTCCCGCGCGTTGCATTATGGGGCATATCCCGTAAGGCACCCCGAGGTTACGTCGACGGCTAAGGCGACGCCGCTCAAGCCGGAAACGGGAGCCTAATGGCGCGTTCACACAGGAAGCGGGTCCGCGTTCGCGAAGCGGATCCGCGCGTTCTCAACCGCAAAGCGGCTGAGATCGAGCGGTTCGAGCGCGTTTTTGCCAACCGCTTCGGGACCGATTTCTCCCCAAACGCTTTCCCGAACCGCAAAGCGGCAACCAATTACAACGCGACGCTGTGGCTGACGTCACGTCAGCATCTCGGGATCTCATTCCAACATGGCTCCCGTCGCGAGTACCGTCGCCAAATCGCCTAAGCCTAACGCAAACAAAAAGTCGACGAATGTGAAGACTGATGTTCTTCTGGATGTAATCAAACAATACCCCGTCTTGTACGACAAGAGACATCCACAATTTAAGGATATCAAGCATAAAGTTGAAGTGTGGACGATGCTCGGCGAGAACCTGGGAGGGATACCTGGTATGTACCATTTTCATTTCACGAAAGCTACGCGCGTCAAAGTGAAAGACAACTTTTTCCGAATATATGATTCAACTGAACAACCCGATCGTACTCGCTGTATACGCCGAGCGCGATCTGGGCTTCTGGGCCTGCTTGCTAGAATCAGCATGGCTGTTTGAAGAAAGCTTGCCAAGCGTTCTCGACTCGGCTTCACGTGACACTCGGCTCGTGCGCTAGGTTTGGCGGTGCTTTCTTGAGACGCTGATTATAGACGCTTTCAGCGCGCGCCAAATTGAGCCGCCATAGCCGACCTTCTCTTGTCTTACCGCCATGCCGAGCCACTGAACCGGGCGTTGACGAGTCTGTACAAGGGCCTATGCAGGAGACAAGGACACGGTAGAATCTAAAATGGCAATGACCTGTCCTGCTGTGGTAATGATGAAGTAGAACGAACGGAATAAGAGGAAACAAAAACTGAAGGTCGGTTATGGCGGCGCCCATGCGCAGCTGCCTGAAAGCGTCTATAGCAACTGGGGCGGCGTGCTTGAATCGGCGTCTCGGCCGAGTGAAGAAAGCCTGCTGAAGTCTGGGGCGCGCGAGCGCTTGAGACACGACTGGTCACGCCGCTCGTGAGCTAGCTCTGGCGGTGCTTTCTTGTGACGCGGATTATAAGCAAGTTGGTCCTGGTCGTCCCCGAAGAACGTTCACGTTCCATTAGGAGTCTCAAATAAGTAAACGCATGTTCTTGAATTGTGAATTCTGAACATCCCCCATTCTAGTGGGACGCAAATATGTCAGTATTCAGCTGTTCGAGGGCCTTCGCCCAGATATATTTTCTTATGAGAACGTGTGCTACCGGACATTTGCTTACTTCAGGCAATACTCGCGCTGCCAACCCAGGTTAACGCTTTCAACCTGCAAAAATAAATAGAACATGGCCTCACCCACTTTTAAATCATTTTTTTACAGCCAGTCACAGTTTGCTGTTAGCAATTAATGAATGACCGTTTCATTTTTGCAGGTGCTGACCTCGTTAACAAGTTCAAAAGCGCTAAATACACGTACCAAAAACACAAGAACAAGATCACATGCTCCATGAAAAGTGGGGCGGGACCAGCCCAGGTGGGAAAAATAACATGGCCCCACTTCATGCATAAGATGGAAATCATGGTTTGATGAAGAGGAAAGGTTCGTCACAGAAGTGTTTTAAATAGATCAAATTAAAAGGAAATTCAAGAAACATTTTTAACGAAGCAAGACATCTTGTATTGTCCCTTTGTTTAAAAAGTTTTTATTGAATATTCATACCACAACAAAACATAACCAAAAAGATGAACAAAGTAGTCATGTTTCACATGTGTTTGTTGTCATTCAACGATTTATTATTGTAGTGCTCAAAACAGCAGTGGCACCACCACCACCAGCAGTGGTGCCACCAGCAGTAGTGCCAGCACCAGCGGTGCCACCAGCAGCGGTGGACATCTGGGGTGTGGAAGGTGGGTCCCAAGTGTTCCAGTGCTCTGCTGAAAGCTGCAGTTGATATAGTTTGATGGACGAATACCTTTTTTCTTCAAGGAATAGTCGGCAGGATGACAGTGAGATGGAGTCGTGAGTTGACATTAGGATCATTTTATTAAAGCCGCACGACCTTGCATCAAAGCTTCATTGCATTTACTCTTTGGCAGGCCTGCCGACAGCATTCTGCCAAACCTTGCGGAGGAGGACGGCCCAGTGTAAGCCTCACTTTTCTAATCTAAGGTTGCTCTGCCTGCCAAAGGTTTGGCCTAATCTTGAATTTCATAATTTGCATAGGAAGTTAAAACTAATGTCACAAGCCATTACACAACATTCACACAGGGGATATATACATATGGGAAATAAAAAGAGCTGCTGTTCTGTCCTCTTCACTCAAACAAATGCAGGCAACAAGAGGAGCCAAGAGACCAGCAGCAACAGATCAACAAAGCAAGCTGAACAATCTCTAGTTATTATAAAACTGTCTTACACTATTTCGTTCCATCAGGCCACATTCAAGCGGATCCAGCTCGCAGGACCCTGTTGGCACCTGTGTAAATCTTTTGGAGGAGATACGGGAGAGGCGTGCCAGGAAGGCAGGTGGCACCGAAGATCCAGTTCATCACTTCTGTGCGTCCCTAGCCGACAGAATAAGAACCCTTCATGAAACAAAACAAATTGAAATAATGCGTGACATTGAGGACCTGATTTACAAAGCTCAGCGGGAGCACTTCTACGGCCCAGATGAGCACTACTGAGTGCCAAACAAATAAAGTGTGAAAGAGAGACTTCTTGTTCTAAGTCAGTTGTCACAAGGCCCCATGACCATCTTGTCTTGCCAGGGGACAGCACCTCCAGTCACAAAATGGTGGGCAAGCTTGTCCCGCATCTCGTATGCCTCCCTGAAAATAAAACAACCTCAAATATCAAATCAAGGAAATGATTGGAAATGTTTCAAAAGGACTGAAACAAGCCGTAACGCTGACACCATTCTGGCAAAATGGCGGCCCTTCCCGCGTGAGCCAATAAGCCGGCGGCGCAAGGCGTGAGCGCATGTGCAAGAACTCCCGGCTGCTCCCAGCTGAGCGGGACGACGCGTAGCCTCAACAATGCTCTTCGCCTACAAGTGGTCGTCTCCTCTTTGCTCCCTTCTTTCTCTCTCACTCCTTCGGCCCTCTCCTCCCTTCCCTTCACTTTTCTCCTCTCCGGTGCCTTCGTCGCCACACCCAATGGCCAGGCTCTCCCCATATACGGCTCTGGCTGTGGAGGTGTGTGTACTGCGGGAAAGCAAGACTCAAAATCGCGATGCCGACTTTATCAATGCTATTAATGCAAAGGTGCAGGCGAGCTGGACAAAATAAACTGTAATAATCCATTCTCCAGGGATTATTATCGTTCATGAGTACTGCACGCTTTTCGCTTCTCTGCAGTACACCAGTGCCTGGTGAAAAGCGCACTCAAAGAGACTAATTAACCCTCCAGCAGTACGGACGATAAACATGGTAATTTGTGCGAAACTTCCGAGTACTGTCAGTCTTTCGTAAGAAATGCAATGGAATAGTACGTCATTTGAGTCGACAATAAAACATTTTGAAAACTCGCATAGCATATTGTATCGGTTCGATTGAGAGGTGAGGCCCGAGTTATTTTACTTTCAGTAATATTAAGGTGAAATAAGGTTTAGACGCAACGTTGGCGCAGATTCCCCCAGTTTCGGCAAAATGTAGCAGGGTAAGCGGCGCAGTTTGGCACAAATGGTGCAGCAATCACATCGCTGATATTGATGTGGCTCATTTCCAGTGACTCGCATCATTTTCTTAGCCACTAAAAACTGCTTCATTGCCTCTACTAGCCTGACAAAAATAAACACAACTATAGTAACATACCGAGTAAAATTAAACATACTTGGCTGAACTGTAGCCTCTTCTGGGGATGCCTCGCAGACCAGCGTTTTTGCTGGCTGCGTCCCTTCTCCACGTGCCCTCAGCTGTTCGACCTTTCCAGTCCTCCTGGTCGGCTGTGCCAGGAGGGAAGTAGGCCGCAGCCGATGCTCCAGACTCCTTTAGCACAAAATTGCGAAGGACAACGCAGGCTGCAACGATCTTGTCAGCATTCACTTCGCTTGCCCTGAAGGGTCTTCTCAATATTCGCCACCTCTGGGCGAGAATTCCAAATGTGTTCTCTACGACCCTCCTGCCACGGCTCAAGCGGTAATTAAAAATCTTCCGTCGCCGCCTCAACTCCCTTTTTTTTCCCCTGGTCACTTGCGTCACCTTCATCATCTGGAAGCTGGTCATCCACTCCATCGTCTTGTGGTTCTTCATTGGACGGCTCTGAGGCAGAAGGTTGAGTGTCTTCAGCTCTTGCAGTGAGGCCTGTAATATTAGAGCCAATATCTTAGCAAAGGAGCTGTGAACTCTTCCAGAAAGGGCACCTGAAATGTGGTAATGCGAAGTTGCATGACCATGATACAAAG